CCACCACCACCACCACCACCACTACTACTACTAACACCGGACATCACAACCTAGCACTACCACTCACTACTGGCAACAAGAAGACAGGGACAGCAACAGTAGCGGTGGCGGCGACGGCGGTGTCAAGATCCAGCCGGCGCCGCACTTCACCACTGGTTTCACCGTTACATGTCAGAAAACGACAAGATAAAAGCAGCAAAGCTCCTGGCAAGAACAGCAACAGTAACAGTGCTAGCAAGTCTGGGAAGAAACAGACACTGCCCCGTTGGTCCATGATCCCAACCCGTACTCTACGCTTGGCAGAGAAGAAACGACAGCAAGATGCTTGGCAGAACACAGGTGCCAGTGGGTATGAAGATCCAATGTTTGTTTCTCGCACTGACACACTGACACATTACTATCATGTCCTGGAGAAACGCGCAGAGCAATGTGAAGATACAGACGAGCGCTGGCAGTATGGTTCCAATCCCTCCCTTGCAACTCACCGTCAATCCGAGCGTCTTCGCAAGGCTATGTCACTGGCGCCATCAGGAGCTACGACACGCAGCCTTAGTAGAGATGACTTGCTCTTTGTCCACTCCCTGGTCAAGGAGTGTGGTTTAGAGGGTGATCATGATATTGTGGTCGACACACGGGATAACAGCGGCACTGATGATGTCGCTACTGATGATGTCACTGATGATGTCACTACTGATGATGTCAATGATCACGTGACTGATGATGTCATTGGTGATGTCACTACACAGCCCTATCTTGAAGCAGATAACGTGGAGGAGAACAGTGAGACAGAATCACGGGAAATGACTGTTAGTCAGCAGCAGCAGCAGCAGCAACATAACCAAGTCCTTACTGGTTCAGCTCTACCGGAAAACAGCAGCAGTGGCAGCAGCAGCAGCAGCGGCGGTCATGAAGTGCATGCCACTAGTGCAGATCATTCTGTCACCATCACAGTCACTGCACCATGTGAACAACTACCGCCTGCTACCTTGCCGGAGACAGATGATGATCACGCTACCACACTAACTGACCAGCAAGCAGCTATGACATCACCATTACATCATCTCAACAATATCAGCAGTGCCAGTGGAGCAGCAGCAGCAGCAGCACCACCACCACCACCGGCAAGACAAGTCACTGAGGGGGTGATCATAAGTAAGAGTCACAATGATCAACAACAAGGCCGCAATGCAGCAGATGACATAAGCTCCCATTCTGACCGTTCAGAAGACAACGCAGCTTCAGACAATAACAGAAATACGTTACCTGAAAGAAGAGACTGTGAGGCAGCTACTGTCACTGATGACCCCAGTCTTCCCACAGCTACTGTCACTGATGACCCCAGTCTTCCCGCAGCTACTGTGACTGAGACATCTAGTCCTCCAGTAGCTACACTGCTTGACGATGATGAAGACATTCACCATACTGTAGCTGCAGGGCTTGACAGCGATGAAGACATCCAGCGTACTGGACCAAGACTACTGCACGGTCGGTTGTCAAATTCTCAAGATATGCAAGGACTCTGGTCAGATTTCTCCAATTGACATCGGATTCATGGACTTGCAATGATCAGATTTCCTCTCTCTGCTGCTACTGCCTCTCTGTTTCCGGCATTGCAGTGACACATCGAATTACCACCTGCGGCATCAGCACAGGCCCGGCGGAACCGATCCGGTTGGCCAGGCCATGGCTGGACCAACAGTTTGGCCTCCAACGTGTGTTTACTGCTGAGAGGGTCATGTGACTACCCTAGTCCATATCATACACAAACTGTATGAAAGTCATGTGACTACCGTCCATATCATACACAAACTGTATGACAGGCTAGGCTATGGTCGGACCAGTCAATAACTGCTTCCGCTGGTTCTGCAGCAGCAGCAGCAGCAGCAGCCCATGTCTCCTATATATAGTGTAGAAGCTCCAGGATAGAAAGAAAATGCTTCTACTGCATATGCTCATCTACTTGCCGGTCAGTGACTCGTACATGTACGCCAGCGGCAGCAAAGACTGGTGACGTGCTCTCTAACCTGTGCGGCCAGAGTGCATTTACCAACATTTCGCCAGGTATACCTTTAATTTCGTACTTCACAGTATGTTTTCATCTGTATTCATCATAGCACTTTTAATATGCTCCTGCAGCAACAGGCTAGTGTACAATGGACTTCAAGTGCTACAATACAGCTACAAACTTAGTATAAAGTATAAATTATACCTGCTAATTTACATGGATAGACCAAACCATACCTTGATTAATTACTTTTAGGTCTTGAGTTCATCATAAGTACCTGTCCTTGGTATATTGTCCTTGGTGTTGCTATTAGACAGTCAGGGCATCCGTTGCTTGTCACTTGACGTGTCTAGATGATCAGCAGAGAATTGTCAGGTACATGCTCACACGCGCGCGCACACACATGCACACGAGAGAGAAAGAGAGAAAGATAGAGAGAGAGAGAGAGAGAGAGAGAGAGAGAGAGAGAGAGAGAGAGAGAGAGAGAGAGAGAGA